AATAGAAACGAAACGGAGACGAAATTATCTTACCATTTTATCACGTATAAAAAATTACTGTTATTAAGGATTACATGCAATTTATGCCTGCATAGCTGCTACTGAATTTGGTGTTTTGTCTCAGTACATTCTCACTATTTTTCATATCTCATACTCAGAATAATCTTTATAGGTTGGAGAGCGAGTTCGGCTAGTACTCGATTGTGATCGACATATTGTCTACTTTGAACGTGCAGGCAGTGAATTTCTCGGACTTGCCTTCACAGATTTACCACCAGTCAAGCTATTCCCTGCTATTTGTGCAGTTTATGGAAATACAGAGGTTTCGATGGTTTACTTGGGGCCACCAGTGATCGGTTGATATCATTTTTCATTTATAATTCTAATTATTAACCGTTAGATGGCTATTGCTTTGATTACTCAGGTGCAGATTCGGAATTGTATTAAAATGCCAGGTGTTTTTCTGATCTAGCTCTGATTTTCTGGTCTTTATCTTGTCAGTCCATATAATACAGTCCATTTCATTTGCTTTAATATCTATACTGGTCTATTGAATACACTTTGCATAATGCCACTTTGCTAAACATTCCAATTGTTGCCATTGTACCAATCCTCGCGTGCCAAATCTCTAGGTTACTTGTTGTGTATGTCTTTGTCTTTTGTTATTTGTATGCTGATTTTCATAGTTTTTGAGTAGAAAACGGAAAATAATTATGATGTATTATAACGATGGTTCAATTCCAGAATTATCTCTCAAATTCCGTTTGATTCGCAAATATCACGATGCTGCGCTACTTTTCCCTTAACAAAATCCGAAATTTAGGTAGCTCATTATGTATGAGGAGGATGACGATGATATGCAATATGGAGAGGGGGGTGATCATGAGGTTGAGGAGGAGGATGACGAAGAAATTTCGAGCGAGCAGTGGCAGGTTCACGATTTTTCATTCAGTGGCTATTTACCGTCTATTCTGTTTTTATAGGAAGCATGTTGGGTAGTTATCAGCGCCTACTTTGATGAAAAAGGACTCGTACGACAGCAACTTGACTCTTTTGACGAATTTATTCAAATGAATGTGCAAAGAATTGTTGAGGATTCTCCTCCCGTGGAGCTGCAAGCTGAAGTCCAACATTTTTCGGGTATTTTTAACTTGTTTTCTTTAAATTCACAAAAAGAATTTTGAATCGCCCCAAAATTCAGTCTTTTGTTCCAGGAGACATTGAAAATCCAACCAAGTTTTCATTGAAGTTCGACCAGATTTATCTGTCTAAACCGACCCACTGGGAAAAAGACGGAGCTCCAACCCCGATGATGCCGAATGAGGTGAGTAGCAGATACTTATTTCTAAAATTTGCTTAAGCAAGCTTATTCAGGCGCGGTTGCGCAACCTCACATACTCTTCTCCGCTTTATGTTGATATAACCAAGCAAATCCAAAGAGACGACGATGTGACAGAAAGGAAGTATGAGAAGGTATTTGTGGGAAAGATTCCCATAATGCTAAGGTTAGTTTTTT